CATTACAGCTAAAAGTCTATTTGATAAGAAGGTAATTTTGTCAGTGTAAAACTAAACCAACTTTACAATTTATATGAACCATTTTACACTTTACATATTTACATTCACACTTGTTTGCATCGTTTCCAAATGCATCCTTAAATGCATTTGATACTATTTATTAGGAACACTATATTGATAATTTGATGAAAAAAAAAAAAAACACAGGGAATACATGATTTATCGATGGAATCAATCATACTCATCTGAATTTAATTATTGCTAGGGGATGCCTGTACGGTCAACTCTTAATGTGGTGTGCGTGACAATGCATATTTCTTTTATTTTTAGAATTTCACTTTTTTTTAAGGTGATGTAGACTTTAACATGTACCGAGCAAAAATTGACATTTGTAATACATTTTAAATAATGGATATATTTTTTTAATTTTATTAGAAAAATGAATGCATTCAAATTATACATGGCTTCTTATTACATTGATATAACCATTTGTTAAAAATTATTATATGATTTTTTTGAGACGCATGAATGAAACATGTATTGCTTTATGGTGGTGGTTCCAATTGCCACTAATTTATTATGTTAATTTGAACAATTAGCTATGGAGTGTATGAATGAAATAGGTATTTTATCATCATTTTTTTTTAATTTGTGGCTATAGATTGAATAGATTTCAACTTTTAACCATAGTTTGTCAAAAAACGTAGGTATTGATGCATTTAGCTTTGGCTTCATAGGAAATCGTAGTTATAGGTTGCCACATCTAACTACAGTTTTGCAAAAAAATGTGGCTATAGATTGCACATTTTAATCACGTTTTGTTAAAAACCGTAGCTATAGATTGAAGTATTTAGCTTCAGTTAAAAAAATAAACGTGGTTATAGGTGCTGCATTTAGCTACAATTCTATAACAAACCGTAGCTATACACATCTTTTAGCTACGATTCAACCCCATGGCTAAAGGTCCATATGGTTTGCATTAGGGGTGATCATGGGTCGGGTCGGGCCGGGCCAGACCAGGGTCAGGCTTTGCACTTATGATAAGGGCTATAGCTTAGGCCCAGGCCTAGCCTAGCCCGAGGTTCTGGGCTTGTAACATAAGCCCTAGCCTAGCTCTACACGAGCCCAAGCTAGGCCGAGCCTAATTCTGGGCCAATGTCTTTCATATATAAAACATTACCTATCTATAATATCTATATAATCATATTAAGCTGAGGATGAAGGAAATTGAATCTAACAGTATTTTTTGCCTTTTTTCTTAGAAATTAAAAGAATGTCACTCTCTACCAACTCTCTCTCTCTCTTTTGCTTTTTTTTTCTTTCAAATTACAAGAATGCCATCTCTCTCTCCTTATAAATTACAAGAATGCCACTCTCTCCAACTAAGGGAGACCTTAGCTCAGCATCTCGACTGCTAAGGGATCTACAATCAAAGGTAGTCGAGTTCGAGTTGAGCCAAGCTCAAACTTCTGAGTTCAAGCTCAAGTCTCTAATTTGAATTGAGCTCATGCTAGATGACACCTCGACCACTGAGGGAGACCTCGACTCAGCACCTCAGTCACTGAGGGAGATCTCAACTCAGCACCTCAACAATCGAGGGAGACCTTAGCTTAGCACCTTGTCAACTAAGGGAGACCTTAGTTCGACACTTGGCCTGCTAGGGAAACCTCAACTTGACACTTCAACGGCTGAGGGAGACCTCAATTTGGCACCTCGACAATTGAGGGAGACCTCGGCTCAGCACCTCGGCTGCTTGAGAGACCTACAACCAAAGGTAGCAAAGTTCGAACTTCCAAGCTTTTGACTCGAGTTGAGCTCGAGCTCGGGCTCAAGTCTCTAATTCGAATCGAGCTCAAGCCTAATAGTTTATGAGTGAGCCCCTACAACGTAGGGCCCCCTCCGCTAGTTTTATATTAAATGACATAACATGCATATAAACTTTTGATTTATATATTATATAATATAAAATATTACATATAATATAAACAATACATATCATGTTATAATATTTATATATAAAATATATAATATAATGTAAAATAACATGTATACATATGTATACATTATACACAAAATGTGTAAGTTTAAATATATGCGGGTCAGGTCGGGGTTGAAGTATTAGGCCAAGCCCGACCCTAAAATTTGCAAGCCTAATGTGAGCCCGAGCCTGGGCTGGGCCTGAACACAAAACCCAAGCCCAAGCCCAGAATTTTCGGGCTGGGCTGAAATTATCACCCCTATTTTGCATCCATCCATTAGCTACGGAAAGATACCGTAGCTATAGATGGGTTATAGCTACAAATTAGTTGAACTGTAGCCGTAGGCTATAGCCATTCAAACATAGACTACAGTTTTCTGTTTGTAGCTAAGCCGTAGCTATAGCTCTATAGCTACAATTTTTTTGACATTTAGCAACGGTTTTATTCGTAGCTAAAAGTCATATTTCTTGTTAGTGAATTATTAATTAATTTATATTGGAAAATAAAAGATAAATTAGTATAATTTTGTTAGTAAACTACTTAATAAAAATAAATATTTAGTAACAAATTAAAATAATTTCAATAAATCTCCATAATTACACAAATATAATAAAATTTTCATAAAATAACATTTTGAAAATTAAAAGATATAATGTTGTACTTTTGGAAATTTTTTAAAAGTTTATTTAAAATGTATTAAATAATTATTGAAGATTATTAGAATATTTTGAAAATTTTAGGAAAATTTATTACATTTGATTGATTTTAGAAAACTATTAAAAAATTATATAATCTTCATTATAAATTATTAAAAAAAATGAGTATAAAAATGGAAAGCTGTAATTTCAACTAATAATTACACAAATTATTAAGATAAATTAATATTATATAAATTACAGTACGGATTAGACTCGAATTGAAAAGATTGAGCTTGATTTAGATTCGAGCCTTAAAGCATTTTAGGACCAGGCCTGGATTGACCTGAATTTTGTTTTTAGCAAAAAATAAATCAAATTGCATCAATCAGCTTAACGAGGATTTTATGGTTTGGAAGTGGATCAATAGAATCAGTGTTAATGAATGTTTATATTCCATTGGAATCAGCTACTGCTGGAGTTCATATAAAATTTTTTTTGAAGTACCGTTCATATAAAATTCAGAACCTCGAACCCGTTAAATAATAATATTCAATCCAACAGATTTGTCCATTTTCTACTCTTATAGTTGTATTGTTGATTCGTTGCTTCGTGGTTCATAATGCCCACTTGCCATTTTTGAATTGTGAATACACAATAGATCACGTGGATCGACCCACCATTAACGGGTTTTGTTCCAGTTTGTGGTCCCCCGCTTCTCCCCCGCTTTCCCATGAATTCTATGATAACAGTAATAATAATTGAAACCTGGAAAAGTCTGTCTCCCTCTAAATGGTTCGGATCTAGGATCAAATCTTCCACCATAATAATTTAATGGATTATTTACCAAAAACTCCATATAGTTTCACAAATTTATAAAAAAACTATCGCATAGTTTGTATTTTACTTAAATAACCCTTATAATTTGTAATCAATTTACGTAATCAACGTTTTCTTTTTAAAAACGATGCAAATAAGTGTGAATACAAATATATAGAGTATAAAACGGTTCAATAAATTGCAGAATTGGGTCCATTTTGCACTAACAAATTTATCTTCTTATCAAAAAGATTTTTAGATGTAATGAATGCAAATATGAATTCTAATAAGCATATGTTTTTTTTTTATCAAAAGCCCACTTAAATGCAAATTTAATTTTTTTATTGATGTACTTTTACATCTTATTATCAATGTAAATATGCATTGATTTATCATTTGTCAATGCATAAATGTAATGTTGCCAAACATAGGCAAAAGTGAATCAGAGTGTAAATTTACCCTGAACCAGGATTTACACTCCATTTGCATCGTTTTCAAACGCAGCCTTAAGAACATATTTGTATTCACATTCCGAAATGGTTACTTGACAATGTTGAAGGACACTTTAATCAAGATTTTTGAATGAAATAATGTTTGGTTTTAGCGGAATAAAGAAGATACAACAATGAGTTCTTTGTCTCCAATAGTTTAACTTCCTCCTTTGAATCACTAAGGCTATATTTGGATTGAAGAAAAATGTAGGAAAAGAAAGGGAAAGACAGGAAAACCTATATAAGGTTTCTTAAGGTTTTACTATCTTTCCCTTCCTTTCCTTACTTTTTCTTTCAAAACAAGCACAGCCTAATTGATTTGTTTATGTTTTAAAATAGGACAAGAATGATATTCTCTATCCTATTTTCTTTTGATTAAATTTTCTCTAATAGGCATTAGTATTAAAACTATTTTTTTCCACGTGGTGGATGAAAGTGGAATAATAAATTGGTTGCAAACTATAGAAAGTGCTTTAATAAAATATAAAATATAATATAATTTTAGTAAGGATATTTTAATTAATGACCTTAAATTTAATTTAATTTGATGGAAAATAAGAACCCCTTCAAGTTCAACGTTCAACCCATTAATGCCTTCGTCTCTAAAAGCACGAACGATTAAGAATTTTCATTATTAAACTTCCTTTCATTTTGCATTAAATTCTGTTTTATTGAGATGGATGCTGGTTAACAAAAGCAAGTGTAAATTTAAGAACAAAAGCTTTTTTAATGATTTTTGTGCATTTATTACTTTTAATTTTTAAATGTAAAAGGGTTGCTTTGCATAAACTCGTCAACACCGACAACCCTTTCAGTTTCAACGGTAGACCGTCCTTTTCGTCCTAGAACTCTAGACCGTCTTTCTGTTCTGTCTGTCGTCCTTGAGAGAAGACCGTTTAGTTTACCACGTTTGAATTTTCCACTTTGGCTTTCTTCCTACGTAACTTAGTACTCACACGTGTTTTCTATCCACGTGTGATTTCCAACCCAAGCGAATCCTCCCCCTACGATTCGTGATTAAGTAAAACCCGAGGGTGCTTTTGGTCAAAATGCCTTCTCCGGTAAATTAATAGTGAGTAGGCAACTCCGACTAAGAAGAGACGGATCTTACTCTACGTCTCCTCTTCTTTCATCCGACTTCCGATACCTCCGCAACTTCACCTTTGTTTTCCGGAACAAGGATATGATCACCATCGCGACATACATCTAAAGCCCCACATCCTCATCATCCTCGAGAAGACTGATACCAGTTCTGATTACTCTGTTTCTGTTTCTTTTTCTCTGTTTCTCTATCATGTCTTTCTACGACACTGCCCTCTTGAACAGCGAACTCTCCAAGCCGACCTCAATATTCGGTCTGCGTTTATGGGTTGTTATTGGAATTTGTGTTGGAGTGTTCATCGTTCTCATTCTCTTCCTCCTCTCTCTCTGCATCACGTCTCGTCGCCGAAGATCTCCCAACTCCAGCTCTCGTCGCTCGAAGTTCTCTGCCTCCGATCACTCTCCTATCGTCTCCAAGGAGATCCAAGAGATCGTCCATGTTGCTACTACGGATCAGCGGCCGGTTCCGCCGGCCGTTCCCGAGATTCAGATTGATATTGGCAAGGCGGAGCACCGTGTTGTGTTCTCTGACAGGCCCTCCTCGCATGCAAGCGGAGAGAGTCGTTCCACTACTGCCACGGACTCGGTGTCAATGGCTGGGGGTCCGCCGGAGGTGTCACATCTTGGGTGGGGGCATTGGTACACTCTCAGAGAGCTTGAAGCGGCCACAGATGGGTTGGCGGACGAGAATGTGATCGGAGAAGGCGGATACGGTATTGTTTATCGAGGAGTACTCTCCGATAATACTCGAGTTGCAGTGAAGAACTTGCTGAATAACAGGTAATCAACTCAGTTGCATAAATTATATATTATTGTTTCTTGTGTAGATTTTCGTTGACTAACAGAATGAGTGTTGGATCAATTAATTAGTTGGGTTCGTGTGTTCTAGCTCTTTCTTTGGTGTAAAGCTCGAGGGTGTTTTCTTCCTTACTGGTGGAATCCCCCTCTCCTCACTAGGAGGCATGATTAATATTGAAATTTGAAGAAATTTTCTGCTTTTAACCAACTGCTAGTTTCTTAGTTAGAATGTGAAACTGAAGTTTCGTGCTAATCTGGTTATTCTGATAATTCCTGCTCAAATTATAGAACTATTCTACTTATTCTGGGTGTTGTTGGTTTTATTAGATTTCCACTTTCTGGACCGATATTAGTCTCTCTCTCTCTCTCTCCCCAGTAGTATTGGAATCTTTGCTTTCCAGATGACTTTGGATCTTTTTTTTAAGAGTTTAATTGTAAGAGGCTGTTGAATTATCAGGGGTCAAGCTGAGAAGGAGTTTAAAGTAGAGGTAGAGGCGATTGGCCGTGTTAGACACAAGAATCTGGTCAGGTTGCTTGGGTATTGTGTCGAAGGAGCTTACAGGTACTGATACTTTTGTCCTTCCATTCTTGTTTAGTTGATTTTCTCTTCATTGGTAACCTTAGTATCCATATATGGTGTATCTTTGTTTACAGGCATTCATTGTCGAAGGATATATGGTGTATCCATATATGGTGTTTACAGACATTCATTGTTTAGTTGATTTTCTCTTCATTGGTAACCTTAGTATCCATATATGGTGTATCCATATATGCTTTTAACCTTAGTATCCATATATGGTGTATCTTCATTGTCGAAGGAGCTTACAGACATTCATGGACATGCACACCCACACACATATAGTAGGGTTTTGCTCATCCTATTTAGAGTGTCTGAGATCCTCTGGAAGCTGAATATGTCTTGATTTGAGACTTGATATTTAAATTTTCTTACAGTTTAACCTGTTTTCCTGGATTAGAATGCTTGTTTACGAGTATGTAGACAATGGCAATTTGGATCAGTGGCTTCATGGGGATGTAGGGCAAGTGAGCCCTCTGACATGGGATATCCGGATGAACATTATCCTTGGAACAGCAAAAGGGTACAGTCACCTCTCGTCTGAGACTTTATTCTTTTCCTAATTATTTTTGCTCATCAACTATCTGCACATTTAACTGAATGAGAATATAATTTCTGCAGCTTGGCCTACCTTCATGAGGGTCTTGAACCAAAGGTTGTCCATCGAGATGTAAAGTCTAGCAACATCTTACTTGACAAGCAATGGAATTCCAAGGTGTCTGATTTTGGGCTAGCCAAACTGTTGTGTTCTGAAAGGACTTATGTTACAACTCGTGTGATGGGAACATTTGGGTTGGTTCTCTTCCTTCATTTGTTTGCCATGGTTGTGATTTATTTCTCATTTTCTTCCTTGTGAGCAAAAGAAATTTGTGATTCAAATTTGCTCATCTAAACATTTATATGCTCTGCTCATCAATCACTTTTTTGGTTCTACTATCTTTCATGGATTTTGTAGCTATGTGGCACCGGAATATGCTTGTACTGGTATGTTGAATGAGAGGAGTGATGTCTATAGCTTTGGAATACTCATGATGGAGATAATTTCTGGGAGGATCCCTGTTGATTATAGTCGACCACCTGGAGAGGTAGTTGACTTGAGACATTTAGTTTCATTTCTAACCTCTCTTCTTCTCGATTATCATATGTTTCAATTTCAATCACTAAATTGCTGAGTTTGAATAATCAATTTTGCAGGCGAATTTGGTTGATTGGTTAAAAACCATGGTCGGAAACCGGAAATCTGAGCAAGTAGTGGATCCTAAGTTGCCGGAAATGCCATCTTCAAAGGCACTTAAACGAGCTCTTCTTGTTGCTCTCAGATGTGTTGATCCGGATGCCAAGAAAAGGCCTAAAATGGGACATGTGATTCACATGCTTGAGGCTGATGATTTGTTATTCCGTGATGTATGTCCCAATGTTTCTTTAGAAAGTCTGATTCCTTGAGTTCTTAGAATATTTTGATTTGGAAATTAATAGGAAGCAACTTTTTTTACTTCCAACCCATTTATTTTTGAGTTTGCCATTTTCAGGAAAATCGGATTGGACGAGAAGCCAGCCGCTCCCATCGAGATCATCCATCAGCAGATCAAGTTGTTGTGGGGTTGGACGATAAACAGTTGGGTGAAGGGGTATTGGAGAGAAGAGAAGGGGAAACCAGTAACAATCTACACCAGCAAACAAGGTGGAGATGACAAAGGGTAAATTAGGTGACTGACAATTCTTAGCCTGAGTGAGTTTCCAAAATTCTATCTACAGTTAACCAATTTCTGTCTATAACTCATTCTATATCAAGAATATGGTTAACCAGCAGAAATCCTGTATTTCGTCTAGTTGTATGTTTGCATATTTTAATTTAGGATCCATCATGTGTTGAATTGGGATGCACTTGTATCATAGAAAATTTATTCATCATTTAGATGAAAAAAAAAACAGAACTGCAAGTGTATATTTAGCACTGGAGAGTGGAGTGAAGATATTTCTTGTCAGTTCTTGTTAAGGTGGTTTTTGGCATAATGAACTGATAATACAATTTCATCGCTTGTACTTGGCTACTTGCTACATTAGTAATTCTGGGGAAACGAGCCCAAAGCTGAATTTTCTGAAGCCTGTTTCCTTTTAATCGGCAACATAATGGTTGCCTCAGGTCATTCCCAATGGGGGGAATCTTCTTTTTTGACTTTTACAAAATAAATGGGGCCATTTTTGCATTCGCAACTGTAAATATTGGTGCTTGAAAAATGAAAAGTGAAAATCAAGCACAACTGATACTAAAAAGTAAAAATAAGATTGAAGATTCTACTGGAAACTTTGAGGAATCGTTTGTCACGACCATTTCTCAACCAAAAAGGTTTATACGAAAATAGTTGAAGGTACATTACCCTAAGAAAAAGGTTGAAGACATTGCCTTAAAACGTTTCTAGCCACCGGCTGCATTGCTGATTGAGGCAAATTGGCATTAGCAGAAACCGTCTGGTGCCAAACACTCCTTTCAAAGTGTTTATTTGCAGTTTAATCAACTTAGGGACTCATTTGTAGAGGTGTAAATCGTGCCGGGCCATAGGCGGCCTGACTCGATTTTGGACCGGCCTGGTATGATGGCATGCGGGCCATGCCAGGCTTGGCATGATGTTCTTTGTCGTGCTAGGCCTAGGGTTTTAGTCTGCGAGTTAGGTCGGCATAGCATGAACAAGTAGGACGGTGGCCCACGTGTTGGCACGACCCAGCATTGCCCATATATACTATTTATATATATATTTTGTATATTTATATATATATAATATATTTATATATATTTATATATTTATATATAATATATAATATATTATATAAATTATAATTATATAAATAATATATAGTATATAATATATTAATAAAATAAATAATTGTTTTCAATTTTATTATACTAATTTATTTAATTATTCTATATATAAGCATTTGTGTACATCAAAATTTATATAAAATTAAAATTTTAAGTTTTTTTTCATTTTTTTAATAAATAAGTAGGCAAAATAGCTTTGGCCCTATCCATGGCCTGACTTGGGCTGTGTCGGGCTGACCCCCAAACTTTTCACTAGGGAGGGTGGCATGGCCCGTGATGGCCCGCATTTTGTGTGGGTCGCTCGTGGGTCATGTCGACACGGTTTACCCACTTTACACATGTACTCATTTGTCTTGTCCTCATATCAAGTTAATTTCATCATTGCCAACAATTATTAGGTATGTGTTTGGTTCTGTTGGTGTCCTGGTAAAACTATTGTTGGTGTCGTGGTAAGGCTTTGAAGATTGGTCAAGTCTTCAAAAGTCCGAAGAAGGCGACAAGAAAGGGAGAGAATGTGGGGAAGAGAGGAGAGAAGGGTGAGTCCTCTTCTGAGAAGCCTTAGGTCAAAATTATATGATATTATCTGACGTGGGAAGGAGTTTTCCCCATTTTTATAGAGAGGACCCCAAGGATATAAGGAGAATGATATAAAAGGAGACATTTCCTATTAGCAAAGGGGGTCTTTATTTTTATGTTGCCTATTAAGAGAGCACTATTTGGGTTTCACCACATGTCCGGTGAGATCCTTCAAAGACAAAGTTTCCTTTCTCTTAAGGATTCTCACGTGGCACGTGTAGGTTACGTTCCCTTACAGGTTTCCCAGTGGCCATGTGTTAAAAGACAAGATTGGTGATGTTATCGCAAGTCTCAGGCGACGCCCATTGTTTATCGTGGGTCCCAAGTGGTGTTTTATGTTCATCGCAAGTCTGCGATGGTTACTAAGCTTATCGTAAGTCTGCGACGGTTGTTAAGTTCATTGCAAGTCTTTGTGGGTTTTGAGATCATCACCGATGTGAGCCGGGTCATGGACTCGCCACAGATGTTCTTGTGGTATCGGCTTAGCACCTTCTGTGCCCCCACAGTTGTGGCAATCAACATATACCTGCAGGTTTCATTTATATTTTTTCATTCAATGTTTGTACTTTATTTGTTTACAAAACCGAGAAAAGTAATAATTACAACCATTTATGACAATTAGGCACCAATACCACTCAGCACTACATTAGCATAATAGTGAAAAAATGCCTAACTATTGGGGGAAGTTTTAAAAAATAACTTTTCTAAATGATGGGCATGAACAAAAACTGAAGTCACCTTTTACTATTACCATGCATACAAAAGAGCATGAGAGAAAGTGAAGTGGCGATTATGATGATGTTTGGTACCGTTTACGTTTATTCATTAAACGTTTATTAATGTTGCCACATAGGCGCCATCTCAGCACTTTCTCTCTCTTGCTCTTCTGCATACATCAAAAATATAAAAGGTGAACTTTGGTTTATATGCATGACAGTCGTTTGTATAAGTTATTTTTAGAAGCTTCCACAAACGGCCAAGCATTTATTCACTGTTACGCTGAAGTGGTGCTCAGTTATCATAAACGGTTGCAATTATTGCATTTCTTGGTTTTACCAGCAAATAAAGTATAAACGTTTATTCAATAAATATAAACGATACCAAACACATACTATGTGACAATATTTATTGAATAAACACCCACGTTTCCAAACACCCTATAAGTATATGTTTGGTAGTGTGGCTGTTTCTCACATGGCCTATTTCCCCGAAAATGACCCTGCCATGAGCCCATTCAGTGGCTGAAGCGTTTTTTATGTTTTCTTGGGTTTGGAACCCTCGTTCCAACTAAGCAAAGTTAGAAACAATTAAAGGGTTTTGATCCTTGTTTGGGTGTCATGTCAGCACCAAGTCAGTTATCGATGAGCGTTTTCAAATTTTGAGGCATTGCTGTTTTCTCCCACTTTTGTAAAAAACAATGTTGATCAAACAGGACTTTGACCTTTGAAGTTGATATCCTATGTGGCGCTGTGATGTCAGTTTTTTTTCCGAGAAACAGCATCAATTCCAAGGTCCGTTTGGTTCCTTAGAATGGTGTTTGAAATTAGAATCAGAATGGCTTATTTTGATTTAAACTGTCAAAATGAGATTTTGATTCCCATGCTTGGCAGAATGGGATTTTCCTGTATGAGGGCATGGTCATCTCTGGTTCCCCCAGAAAAGGGATTCCCATTCAAGAATATGTCCAGAAGTAATAAAATAATAGTTTAATAAAATATTAATAAATTAATAATAACAGAAAAGGCATTAATTATTAAACATAATAACAACAAGAATAAAATATAAACAAAATATCAATACAATATTAATAAACACTTTATGAAATAATAATAATGCATTAGAAATTAAATAATAAAATATTATGAAAAAAATAATAAGATAATAATAGTAATAAAATAAGAATATATTGAAAATTAAAATAATAATAAAATATTAGTGATGAGGGCGGGTTTGGCCCTCCAATGACACTATGACACCTGGCACCTTATGACAACCAGGTAGACAATTCACCACAGGCAGCTCGTCACAGGCAGCTCGCTACAGGCAGCTCGCCACAGGCAGCTTGTCACAGGCAGCTCGCCACTTACAGACAGCTTGCCATAGGCAGCTCGCCATAGACAGCTCACCATCATGTAGCCTGGAAACTTAGACAACTCGGCACTGCACAGGCAGCTTGCCACAAGCAACTCACCATCATGTCGCCTGGCAACTTAGACAACTCGGCACTGCACAGGCAG